AACTTTTTAATTTTCACCAACTTGCTGCTGTCTGGAGGAATCACCTCGATATTCTGGGGATTGTCAATTGCAAACGGCTCTTCCAGCACTTTTCGAGTCAATTTATCTACCATGACCTGCTCGATTTGTGGGGAAAGATGGCAGATAATATTGTGATGTTCGTGTACTACTAGATGCAGCGCAGGTTCTTTCCAGCACACCAGTTTCAGCGTCGTCTCTCGGAAATGGCGACGGAATGTGATGAGTTCCTACAAAAAAGGTTTATCGATGCAGCTGATGTATACTAACTTGCCACGCGCAGCTGAGATACTTGTAACTTCATCAAAAGAGTTGAGAATGCTCTCTAAAAGTCGCTTAGAATTCCAACGAGGCACATTTTCTTGTTTTAGCGTATTCTCCAGGTTATTTTGCAGTTTGCTTTTTTGGAATAGGAAACCAGAGCTTTGCATCTATCCAGTAGCTGGAAAACTTCTGGGGCGTCGTCGTAGAACTTATAATATGGAGACGAAACCACTCCATGTTTTGTCGACGTTATCTTGCAAAGTACGGTTGTGATAACCGTGGCAATTTTGTGGTTTGCACATGGGAGCCATGTGTAGACGGATGGAATGCCCTCTTGGCCGCGCAAATTGGATCCACAATCGGTCACAACTTTACATAGTGAGGTGTCGTGAATGCCAAAATCCAACAAAGCTTCCCTAAACACACTCAAAAGATACTTGGCTGTGTGAGATACACCCTCAACTTCTTTAACTTGGAGTATTCGAGTATGAAGCTTGAACAATTCAGGCATGAAATGAAATGTCACCAACATGTACGATCTGTTTTTAACTGAATCAGTCCATTAGTCTGTCGTGAACCCCGCACAGCAATCACGAAAATGAGTCTGGCAAATGAATTGCAACTTTTTGCGTCCTTTTGGACATTATTTCTCACTGTGTTGGGGGCAGGTAGTAATTGTTGAATATCACATGATCGCTTCGAATGTAAACCAATGTAATGAGTGGGGAGCTGATACCGAGATCCCACTAGACAGTAGCTGGACGGCCACAACGAAGACGGCAGCTGATTCATCGCAGTGTGCAGTAAGGGGATTGCCAGGGATTCGAAGGATTGGTGATCTTGAAGAACCGCCAGACAATGAAGTGAGTGGACCCTTGAAGTTGAAGGAGGCGTGTCGCCCAGGATCGACCGGAACTAAGGTACCGGGTATCACTGGACGGGACTTCGGAATTTGCCGTGCAGAGCACACTGGGACGGGACTTTCGAATTTGCAGCGTGGAGCGCACTGGGCGCTTACTTCCGCATTTGACGGGAGGGACGCAGAAGACGCGGAGACAGAAGTGAGGAGAGCGGACGAAGGCCCTCAAGCAGGACGAGCAGCAGGGAGGACAGTAGACGAGCAGACAGCACGAGCTCCCCAGGGAGGTGGCGAGACGGTGAAGTACCGCGGACCAGGCGAGGAGCAAGTGAACGAGACGAGTAGACTGGGAGCGAGCAGGAATTGACGGAAGCTGGGTCTGAGGAGAACTAGCGAGTGTATTAATTGAGTAATAAATAGGAGACGGGCGCATTGGGGCGTACGGATCCGGCGCGGTGACAAGTAGTTACCGTCAGCCAACGAGTCTTCATTGAGCTGAGCACAAAAGGACGGCCGCAGCTCAGCTATACGACTTGCCTAACAACCGGGCAAGATAAGTGGCCTGTTACACCGATATCAAAAAATAACTGAAGTAAATTCTCTGAAGCCTTCACCCGACACTATGCTAAACGGCCGCATATCCGTGCAGCACATGTACGCAGCAGCCTAGATAACACGCTTTTTATCAGCGGTAGACACCTCGGCTTTGTCCAGAAACTGCACTAAGCTCCCAGTGTTCGCTGGAGCACTTGTACATTTGTTCATGTGCTCGTTTAATGTTTTGGTTCCATTTACTGGAATGAATGCATACACCTTTACACATGTGTTACAGGAAACGAAGCTGTTGTTACAAGCCATGAAAACAACACCTTTCTTCTTTTCATACACGTGGCAAAACTGCGTCCAGCATCTAGCCTTCGAGTTTGCATCGTCACGTAAAGAAAAAATCGAGTTATGTACTTGCTGATTCAAAATGCGACTTATTCTCAATTTCAAGTCATTCAGGTTAAGCTCTCGTAGACTAGGCAGCTTTGCATCATTCGTCACAATCAGAGACCACACAGGATGCCAACTCACCACGTAATTGTGACAGCAGCTTCAACTAAGGAGTGCACTTCATCGAAATCAACGCAATCTTCATCAGGATGTGATGCACGCTCTACCGGTCGAGACAGGTTGAATTCGTCGCAATTTAATTCACACTGTAGTCGTGCACGCGTTCCTTTACCCAAAATGTCTCGAGCCATAAAGAAGCAACTTACTTAGCATATCCAGCCTTCAGACACTCCATGAAAATCCACGCTGAATCGCACCTATATCGGTTCCGATTCATGATTGCGAATATCATTGTGTTTCGGTGCTCGTTCCGTTTTCCACTCCAACCAAAGCTAAGCTTCCATTTGCTCATTCTCGTATCTCCTCATCGTAGCAACATCTCGACTCAGCCGTAGACATCGCTGCAGCTCGTACGGAGTTAGAATTATTTTTTTTACCAGCCATGATTTCGGAAGAAGCGGGTTCCCTACCAGACATATTCGTAAGAAGTATTCAACGCGAACAGTAATTCATTAGAGCTTGGTATTGGTTGGACGATCTAATCTAATGAAGCGGTTCGGGACCGGATATGTAAGCTCTGATGGCTGAAGTAACATTCGTGACAGACCGCTGCTGTTGCTCATTAGCTTGTGGTCTATACGACAGAGTTGCTCATTGGCGTTGTCCAATCATTCGATTGGATTATTTGAACACCTTGCTCATACAACGAGGATTACTATCCTGCTGTAGTTCTACGGCTCACCAAAGCGTTGGAACTCACATTCCATGTAGGCTCTGGAAACATCTTCCGCTGAGGCAGAAACGATTGGCTTGTGTGAAGACCATTCTTCAGACAAAAGGACAACCTTGTTGTACGGAGTCATTCACCAGGAAATATTTCCACAAATTGTCCTTTTCACACGGTTTCTGTAGGTTTCGTAATTCCGCTTCCTGGGACCGTGTGGAAAACTTCAGCCTTGCTGCTTCTTCAATGTGCGTTTGGTGGATACAGTATTCGATAAACAGTAGCGACCCTCGAGCCTCTTGCGAGGCTCTTCGTTGCACGAATTCTCTCAGCCTACTTCATATTATTTGCAAGAC